GAATCTGATACAGTGGTGGAAACACACTTGTCACTATTTTATTTACATTAATGTATATTTAATAAAAACTTGAATCTGATACAGTGGTGGAAACAAACGAAAGTTGAGTACAGCAGTTGCACTTGTTGGAAACCCTCCTATTATTTTCTTGGATGAACCAACTACGGGCATGGATCCAATAGCAAGACGGTGCTTGTGGGATGCACTGGAAAAAGTCCTCAGCTGTGGACAGTCCATCGTTCTAACATCTCACAGGTAGGAAGTCTTTTTTTTTATGAAACTAAAATTTTTAATATAGATTTAACAACATCAAAGTTGATCTTCAGACAAAATCAGGCTGTGGGTTGTCAAGAAGCAACTTTAATATTACAGAAACACTACTTATTGAAAAAATAATAATTAATTAAGCCTTCAAGTAATTATTTACGCAAAAAATGGATGAAACAAGGGTATAAAAAAACCTCTGTATAGGTGCTAAAATATCTATTGTTTTATGTGTAACAGAAAAGGTTTCAAAACGTATGATTGATGTGTAACCACTCGTGTGTAATGAATCATTATTATTTAAAAGTTCGGGTGTTGTATCTGTAACATCGGTTTCGCTATGCAAGTTGTATTTTTTTATGTGAACTCTTACAAAATTCCTCTTTATTGTTGATTAAAAAATAAATAAATTGAGCTGACTCAATATATGATGCTTGGAAATGATGACATTTTAAAAATTACATAGACAGGCAACACCAGACTCTCCTACAACAATCTTGATCTTTGATTCGAAGCCAGGAATTGTTGTGGGAAAATGTACTTTTAATACAATGTGGGTCAAAACAGTTAGCTTTTCTATTACCAAGATATTTAGTGATTTCATCTTATGTTGAAAAATGGTTAAACTGGTTTTGTCTTATGATATTTTATTTTGTACCAAACCATACACTGTTTGCCCCACCCTGTCCAAATAAAATGGAAGTTTCACATGATTTATTGTGATTGGTGGAAAACAAAATAACTTTATGATTAATTAATGAAAGGTGTTGGGCCAAGACGTAAGGGGGGGGGGTACTTTGATGACAGCTAAGTTTCTGGAAACGCCTTTTTAGATTTTGAGCATTACTGTCCATGCGTTGCTCTCCAGATACTTTAAGTTTGGCCCAAAATTAAAATAAGTGAAGTCCTTTGTAAGTACTAATCTATGTAATTTTGTTGGTTATTTTTAAGCATGGAAGAATGCGAAGCCCTCTGCAACAGACTGGTTATCATGGTAAACGGACAGTTCTGTTGCCTTGGAAGCCCCCAACATCTTAAAAACAAGTTTGGTCAAGGATATATCCTGATTGTCAAAGTTGGATACCACTTTTGGAAGAGAGCTTCTTTGTTATCAGCTGGAAATTCACATCACAATCCCCTCTTTAGGCCCGTTGTGCGGCATCAGGACAGCATTCACAGGCAGGAAGAGGCCGAGACCAGTTTTAAGCGAGACTTGGCAGAAGTAAAGAGTTTCATCGAGACCACTTTTCCAGGTTGCGTTCTGAAGGATGCCCATCAAGGACTACTACAGTACCACATTCCCGATATTAAACTAACTTGGGCCCAGATCTTTGGAACAATGGAGCGTGCTAAAGTCCGACTCAACATAGAAGATTATTTAGTAGGCCAGACAACACTGGAACAAGTGTTCCTCACTTTTGCTCGTTCACAGCGTTTCACACGAGAGAACTAAGGTCGGTCTCTTACTTTTATTTGTTTCTGTTGTAGTTGTTAGTTCACAAACACGAACCCTGCGTGCACTTGCAAATATGGTGCAAGTTTAAACATTCAACTGTGACTTCTAAGTCTAGATGAGCTTTTATTTTGCTTCCGTTCGATAATTGAAAGGTGCCGTCAGTAATAACCTTAAAATAGTGATCTGTTTTCGGAAAAAACAGGTTCTAGTTAAGGTACTTAAATCATCACTTCAGATTATCTAATCAAAAAATCAGTGTCAAGAATGTTTTACTTAACCAATTGCAAATCTATTTTTTGAATACTGTACTAGTGTAGGCCTGTAATATTGAATTCTTTAACCCTTTTGCTGCGTAGTTTGGATACATACCTTAATACCCACCGACCGAGAAATTCGGATTTACCCCACGACTACCAAAAAAAGTTTCCATCTACTGCGACATGTGGGAATATCCCCCTGTACTTGAAACAATTGCCAAACCCCCTTGCGTGCTGCCATCTATGTTCTACACCATGAAACCTGGATGTTGCCAACACATATAGAATATATATAAAGACAGCATCTGTATATCTTGGATATTGTTATGTAAATAATTTTTTTATATTTTGTAAAGAATTTGGCTTCTTATTGACTTAGTTTTGCCTATATTTATGTCATTTACTGGATCTAATTTTCTTAAAATCATTATTTTTCACTATCCAGTACAGTTTTCGAGGAATATTACCGTCAGATATAGAAAAAGTAATACAAAGGGTGAAATGAATACTTTTATTTGTTGGAGGATGTCTGAAAATTGATTGGACAGTGAAAGGGTTAAACAAGCTGTCTTGGTTAAGAAAATTCACGTAGTGCCCAAATCCGAATTTCTTGACCTTTTATACCTTCTAAAGTCAAAAACAAGTCACATGGTTTTGTTGTATAATAGTAATACAGATTTTCTAGTTATATCATGTTAACCTATCGTACAAGAATTCTATTTATCTATTGAATCTGTGATAAATGAAAACATATATTTATTGTTGTCCATCCAGAGTGCTAGTTCAACTTACAAAAATATTTGTCTTACTATCTTCGTCTAATACTGGTTTTTTTATGGATCTCGAAAGACAAGAATATAATTAAGGCTTAAAGAGATGAGCTTTCTTTACCCTTACTAGGTCACGGCGAAAGTCGAGACCCACTTATTAACTTTTAGATTTTAATAAATGTACTTTGTTTAATGGTCCTTTTCTGGAAAGTAAACTTGCATCATGTTGAAATTTGTTTTTGATGAAACCTCACTGAATATTCTGCCAATGGATGCCCCCCCCCCATTTTATTAACAAATGTGATACTGCTACATTCATTTCCAATATCTGACCTCAAAGTGCAAATAAACATGAAGTACTAAACAGTTACTTAATAGTTACGACCGGCTGTATAAGAGAAATTTTTTATTTCCCTCGTCAGTTGTTAAATGTACCTTTAGTTTATTAACTACAAACAACTGTGTTTTATGTTTTCATTGCTTGGCTCTAGGTGAAGCATCCTGACCTATTACTCTTTAATCGGTGGTTACAGTATAATAGATTGTTTTGTTTTTTTAATGTACTGGTCAACCCAGCACAAAACATCAGAACCTAAAATCTAAGTTATTCAATAACTACACTAAAAAAAAAGGTTAGTTATAGTAATATTTCTATGGATTCTTTGTTATTATATTCTGAATTTCAAGAATAAAATTAAGTAAGTAATGTTTACTATTTAATGTGGAAACTAGTCTTAACATACACAAAGACAGGTATCGAATTTTCACTAACCCTTTCGATGCCTGATACATGTGTTTTTGTAGAGTTGTTCAACCTGCTGCTGAACTATTGTATTAATGACACATACATATATATAAACTTACGTTTCATAAATATAATTTCCAGAATGAGGAAATAGGGCAAAATATGCTTTGGGGGGGGGGGGATACTACATAAAATAAAGTGTGTTTAAATCTTTTAATTTGGTGAATTATTTGTGCTGTATTCTAATAAAAAAGAGTATATTGAAAAATGAGTGATAATATTTAATTCTAGTCTAGTTGATATTGTGGACATTATTCAGCTTACATGCTATATTTATGCCAAAAATATGTGTTCTACGTGGTTTGTATTTGATCGGTAGTTTTAATAAATATGTTTAATCACCTGCACGTTTTTTGTTGGTTTCATTTTAACAGTTCTGTCCTTACATATTTCACTTTAGGGCCACGGCAAGTTACCGAGTTAGTTTGCTCCAGTGCACTGTTAAAGAACTACTCTGATTACATTTATTTTCCTGTAAATCTTTAAACAAAACATGTATCATGACGTATCTGAATGTATTGTGTACTTTCATAAATAAACTTGCTGATCAAATCTTCTTAAACATCAGATTAGTGACCAATACGGAGATCAGTTGTAGGCTTACTACTTATCTAACAATGAACACAGCCACTGTATAACAGACAACCTACTTATCTAACAATGAACACAGCCACTGTATAACAAGACAACCTACTTATCTAACAATGAACACAACCACTGTATAACAGACAACCTACTTATCTAACAATGAACACAACCACTGTATAACAGACAACCTACTTATCTAACAATGAACACAACCACTGTATAACAGACAACCTACTTATCTAACAATGAACACAA